GCCAAGATCTGTTAACGGCAAAACATGCCGATGATATTAACATGACTGGTCTAGAGAAAAATATAGACGACTATGTACAGCGTGTCGAAAAGAAGTTTGGAACATGCAAACTCAACAAACACACATATACGAACTGCGCCGCTCGCTACACTAAGAATGATCAAGGGGATGTGATTATGGATCAGGACGAGTATATCAAACAACTACGTCCTATCACACACCCAGAACTTACAGGAGCGGCGGCCGATGCCAAAGCCACGAAACTCATTACCGACATGTTCGTCAGCTTGCGAGGAGCCCTCGCCTATGCCCTTCTTACCCAAGTCTGGCTCATGGCATACGCGGTCTCTCTCCAGAAAATCCAAGAGCCCACCAATCTGCAAGTCAGACGCCTGAATGCTGTGACGCGAAAGCTGATCAGCAGCCCGAAACGCATCACCTTTCCTCGGATGAAGCCGACGAATGAAGTTGACATCCACAGCGATTCGGGGTATCGGAAGCTTACCGGGGAGGAGGATGATGAGACCAAGGGCTACGGCATACGCGGGGCGAATGTACTACGGCGAGGAAACTCGCCTCAAGGCAAGTCCGTCGTTCACCTCTGTGACGGACTATGCAAATCACACCGATTGCAGGTGAGGTCCAGCTATGCTGCGGAGGCACTCGCAGCGGCGCATAACCTTGATGAGTGTTACCCAACGCTCATCACTCTCCACGAGCTCAAGGCAGGAGCTCTGCCTCCACGACAACTACGAGATATGCGTGAAGTTGGAGGCCTAGCCATCAAAGTATCTCTTACCATAGACGCTGAGTCCGTTTATAAATCATTATCAAGTAAGGATCTTAAGATACCGACAGAGCGGACTCTGCTCGGACATATCAGTTGGATACGTGAGCTCATGGATATAGGTATAGTACATAACGTGCAGTGGTGTGATACTAGGGATATGACCGCAGATGGGCATACAAAGGGAAGCATCGATCGGGAGCTGCTTCTGGAAGTGATGTCAGGCACTCAGTCATTCAAGTATGACGTGAAGGAGTTTGTTCCCTTTCGGGGTCCCGAGGACAGAAACAAACCCAAGTCTAATCAATTTTAGTCTGTCCTTGTTGCCCCTCGCGGTCCAATTTGCCAGCATGGGCGCCTACTACAGAGGCGCCCTTCTAGTTGCTCGGAAACGAGCCTTACATTTCACGCCTGGCAACGAGCCGGCTTTATATGACTCAGGCTCTTTGCCTTAATACATATTTGCTCGGTGAGGTATGGCCCGTTTGGCTTACCTCTAACTGAGCCGATGGCCCTTCATCGTTCAAAGGGGCTATCTTGTATCTGCGTGAAATGCCTTGCGAGGAAACTCGCCTTACAGTCTGGTGTTAGGCCAGACTGTACACACTGTTTTCCTTCTTGCAAACAGTTGTGCGCGCGGCCTTTGTTGAGCCTAACGGCTGCGCGGCTATGCTCTCCGTCTCCTCCCCTCCCGACTTTAAGGGTAGCTCTTTGGGAGATGTTATAGTATCGGGAACATAGCTCGCGCGCCGTTGCCTTTGGCTCAAGGCACGCGCGCCCTATTTGCCCGGATACCTGATGGTATTCGCTATTTGCCCGGACACTTACCTTAGTGTTCGCTATGTGCTGGAAAGACCGATACATCGATCTTATCCTATCTTATCCGCCCACTCCCCATACTGAACCACCACAGCAGAGGAATGGACGCTATTTGCCATCCGCTTCCCATGGAATCGGATGCTATTTGAGTTACCAGGCTCACTTTCGACTCAATGAAGATCATTCAGACGTGGTGAGCTGTTAGGTTTGATGCTGTCACGCGGCGCTTTCTTTTGTCGTTGGATGGGAGTCCGCGGCCCCTCTCAGTTGAAGATAACCTTTTCCGCGAAGCGCAATTGTGCCACGCGGCATCTTCCGTGCTGGCGCACGCGCTGCAGCGCGCGATCCTTCGAAAGCATGGGCAAACAAGTCTCTTTGGACAAGGCTCCAGGCCCTGGGGGGCGCAAGCTCGCCCCCCATCAGAAGCGCATGGCCTGCGCCATCTTCTGCACGGGGGGTCTGGACACGTCCGCCCGCGCAGGCGGTAGGCTGCGAGCGCGACGGCCTGCGCCCTCTCTGTGGGCTCCCAGATGGCGTGTGTCATCGTGTCTGGAATTGCTTGGGCCCTGAGGCTGTAGCGGCCAGACGGGGCGTCGCCGACAACGTCCCCGTCGGATGGCTGGCCGATGCCTTTGACAGTGATGGTAGGATGCTTCCGGTGAAATGAAGTGGGGGCACCCCCGAGGACATGTATCCATCCTTCGCCCATTCCCCCAACCCCATCTTTTATTCGCTTGGGAAGGGAATGTTGTCGATTGGGGGTCGGTCGATATTTCTGGCTGTGCTGTGGATATGGATAGTTCGGCATTTCGCCATGCGTTTCGACAGCTTTCCAGGGCGGTGTATTCTTGGGCGTTCCTGGGGCCCGACGAGACTATCGCGATTTTCGAGAAAGGCACCGTTCTTGACGTGTGGCCCAAGGTTCCCCAAGCTGCCGAGCACATGTGCATGGCCTCGCCCCCGATGTTTCAGGGGCGGCGGGGCGAGAGGTACTCCGGCTGCATGAAAGTGGTCGGCCTGTGCGTGGCCTGTTGAGAAGTGCAAGTTTATCATGCGCAGCGCTCAGCTGGGCTGAGGAATTGAGTGCTGCTGCACGAGGTCGTGCCTGGTTCCGCTGCGCACCACACGCCTGTCCACCGCAGCCGGGAGATCATCGACGCCTTCCCGACCCAAGGTTACGTGCTAAAGCAAGTAGCTAAGACGCGGACGTTCGGGCCAAGTGGACTCTCCTCTTCCACTCCCAACTCAATGCCCGCGAAGAGACGGAGAGGACATGTAAGCTGTTGGATGTTGTGGCGCGAGTTTCCAGCACGGCGGTGGCAGCTCTTCCCCAGAAAAGTTTGATCGCGCACAGATCAGATCAAGGGTCAAGCCGGGAGGATGGCACCCCTGGCAAGAATTAGGGCAAGCGCGGGCCTTCTGTTTGCATTTCCCCCGGCTGTCCTCGGACCTCTGGGCGCGACCCACGTTAGGTTGTAAAGGACCCCGGCGAGACGTGGCGGGGCGTGTTGGATCGTACCTTGGGGCAATATTTGGCCCACCGTCTAGTCGAGCAAGCTGATGAGCTGTACTTATTTTGTCCTGTACGACTTGCGGAGCACATTGCTCCACGCGCTGCCAGTTTCTGGGCAAGGAGTGCACCTACAGAAAGTTGCCTGGCGTTTTGACGCTTATGCGCATGATTTGTTCGGGCTGGTATACACACGACCGTGATGACACCACGGTGAATGAATGACCGGGGGGAGGTGTTGCGATCTTCTGTCACGCATGGCAACAGCCACAGGCGCGTGATGTGAGTCTCCCAGCCTCCTACGTTGGCGCGTTATCGACTCCAGGGAAACTGGCACTGCAGGCTCGGATTGAAGCCCGCGTGACGGATGCAGCGGCAAAGTCTTCAGCCGCTGCGTCGCGCGATGTTGCTCGATACGTCGCTTCGAAGCGACGTTATGTAAGCATCGCGTTTGTTTTCTTTGTTGAGTTTCGCCCAGGCCCCATCTTACCGCGGAGGAAAATATATCTCTCCTACTGCACCTGCTACTCATGCTGTCCGTGCTGATGCTGATCGTCCACATTGTCTTCCACCTTCGACTTTCCCCACCATATTATTCTCGACCCCCTCTGCCCCAGCCTTCCCGCCCCGCCTCCGCCTCTTCCTGTTCATGCTTCCCCCGCTTCTCCTCGCACGTTCTCGCGCAATTTCCTCGTCCCTTCGTCGCTCTTGCCCCTCGTCTGTCCAAGTTCCGGGCTAAGACATCCGGAGCCATCTCTGCCGTGGCCTATCCCGAGGCAACATTGAACGGAGGGTTGGGCAGCTGCGGGCGGCCGCTGAGCGGACCATGGACGGCGTTGACGAGCTCGTCGAGTGGGCCCGCGGACGGGGCTTCTGGGACGGATCGCTACGCATCGAGCCGAGGGCCGGCAGGGGCCGATGCCTCGTTGCCGCGAAGGCTTTCGCGGAGGGGGACGTGGCCCGCGGGCGTTGACAGAATTGCCCCTGTCCCGAGGTGCCCCCATGCTTCCAGGCGCTGGCTTGGGGCCTTGGCGCCCCTTCTCGTGCCCCTTCAGTCAAGCGAGCGAAAGCCACCCCGACCCCATAATTTGCGTTTGTTGCACCGCCCTGAGCGTTAAGCTTTTGGGCATGTTCGCCGAGCGGCTTTGCTTATCGGGGTTCTTACTGTGAGGGTGGTGTTGTTGATCTCCATTCAGGGGCCGACCGCGCCTCCCTTGGGCGGCCCTGCTCAGGGGGTGACGCATCGACCCCCAATCGCCCATTCATCGCCGATAAGAGCCCGACAGCCCACCCTGCCCAGGAAATTGCCGATTCGCTATCGGGTGCCTATCGCCCATCTAGCGGCGATGCATCGCCGATTCAAGGTCGATGTTTCTCCCCGCTGAGCTGGTTACCCCTATCGTTGCCCCTCACCTTGGGGGCACCATGGGCCTTGGGATCACGTCCGTCAACTCCCGAGGTCTTGCGCGTCCCAGCGGACTCCACGCTCGCGGTCGGACTGCAGCGCAAGTTGCGCCCCGAGGAGGTTATCGGAACGTTGGCGCACCGGCTCCTTGAGGAGGAGGGCCTTGGTGCCGCCTCGGGGTTCGCGCCCTACGCTCGCGTGCTGTTCGACCCCGCGCACGCACCGCGGACGGACTCGCTGGCACAGCTCCTGCCCGGGCTGGCTGGCAAGTCGGCGCGCGAGCGGGCGAAGTTGAAGATTGGGCGCTGCCAGGGGCGTCCCTGGCCCAAGGTGTCCCCAGGACTTCCAAGGAGGCCTCCAAGGCCTCCAGGGCACCCCGCACGAGGCCCAGAGGGCCCCAGGCCCCAGGAGCTCCAGAATGTGGAGCGGGACGCTGGGGGCACCTTGGGCCAGGGGCGCCTCTGGCCCCCCCCGAGAAGATGAGGATGGCAGAGGGGCTGTGCTCCGCTCGCCAGGGCCTGGCCCACGAGAAGGCGATGCTGGCGGTGGAGCTGGCGAGCACGCGCGCCATGCTCTGCGAGAAGCGCGGGGTGTGTGCCATAGTCCCCGTGTTTGATATGATGAACCACGAAGGCCGGCCAAACTGCCGGTGGTCGATGGACGAGCGCGGCGACGTGTCCATCGTCGCCCGGTGGGACATCTCGGTTGGCGAGGAGTTCACTCAGTCGTACACCGACGGCTCCAACGCGGACATTTTTGTGGTGTACGGCTTCGCCCTCGGCGGCGATGCTGGCAGGGCGGCCGGTCTTGATCTGCACGTCTGGCTGCACCCGCAAGAGCAGCAGAGGTACGGCACGCAGATGCAGGCCACGCTGCGAATTCTGGGGAGCGGAGCCGTCAAGCAGCGCTCCGCGGTCGCCCCGCTGATGACGAACGCGCGTATCGTCGTCGAGGACGAAGGAGGCGCCTCGGAGCCCCGCGCCGCCGACGCGATCGTCGCGCGGGCCATCGCCAGGTGCGCGGGTGAGGAGCGCGAGCAGTGGCGGGCCTTGCTGGACGCGTCGGCGTCAGGCGGACCTGCAGCCGCGGAGGAGGGTGGCATCGCCACGCTGGCCGGGAGCGCGGCGGCGGCGCTGAACGAGCTGCTGGGGCGCCTGGATGCCTGGCTGGCGGGGCCGCGCGAGGCCCCGCTGCTGGCGGCGCTGGCGGCAGCACCGGAGCCGGAGCTCCCAGCAACAGTCGGCGGCACGCCGAGGGGGGAGCAGGAGGGGCAGACCTTCTCAGAATCGAGCAGGAGAAATCGGCATGGCTCTATGACAGAAGTCGCCGGGGCTTTCCAGAAGCCGTCTGGCCCGCTGAGAAGCCCTCTATTTGGCTTCGGAGAGAGTTCGCAACGCTTCTCAGGGGGCTGGAGGCCTTCTGAGTCTTCTGAGGAGGCCCTCCCCCCTGGGCGCGCCGCCGAAGCAGACGACGAGGACACTGGCTCAGAGTCCAGGGGCGAGCCCGCCGGGGAGGTGGGCGGCGCCAGCTGATCAGGCCGTCGGCGCGCGCCCCAGCGGTGCGTGGCTCATGAAGGGGGCGTGGTTCCAGCGCGTTGCCTCTGTGTCCTCCTCGTCCTTGTCCTGGTCGTTGTTCGGGGAACGAGCAATGACATAAACATAATGACTCGGAGGTCCGCGCGGATTTGTCGGATCGGCGCTGGTTCCCCCTGGCGGCGCCTCCTCCCCTGGCGCGCTCCGCGCGCCAGGGAGGGGGGGCCAGCACGGATCCAAGATATCCGCGCAGACTTCTGAGTTTTATGTTCATGTCATCTTCGTTCCCCTGGTTGTCCTCGCCATCCTCGTCGTGCAGCCTGGGGGGCTCGACGTGTGCACCACGTCGTCTGGTCGGCCAGGGAGCCAAGGAGTTCGGCGGATGGATCTGGTGTATAACCCCCCCCCCAGCGCTCCACAGGTTGGGCAGCGCTGGGGCGTCTACACACGGAGCTCCTTTTCCTGGCCGACCAAACGGCGTGGTGTCTGCATCGCTCCCAGGCGACTTACCACCCCCCATCTCCAAGCCGCTCAGAAAAGGAGGAAAACTCGGGGAGGCACCCTTGAGGGGGTGGGGGGCTGCTTGGACGCACCCCTACCAAGGACAGACGCCCCTGCATAGGATGCATCGGATATCCCCGAGTTTGGCCCTGACTTCTTGACCAAACGAAAATTCCACAAACTCGGGGATTGTGTTCGCCATGCGCCCTGGTAGCCAGGGCCGTTTCCAGGTCCAGCTCGTCATTGTGAGCCGTCCTTTGACGGTCCAGGGGCCCGTGGAGGGCCACAAAGGGCCCAGGAACGGCGACAGACTCACAGCGACCTCTTTCCTGCATGACCCGCTTCCTCAGTGCTGCAACCATGACGCTGACGTACGGTGGGGAGGTTCGCCAAGCACTGTGCGCAGGATGCTTGAGACCCTGGAGGGCGGCGGTGATATCCATGGCCAGTCCACGATCGGAGTTCCACCAGGTTCCAGGTCCTGGATTCCTTTTCCAATGTTTCCTTACCACTTGGGGCTCAGGAGGGGCTCTGGTTTTCGGGCCGCTCCCTGGGAATAGGCCGGGGGAACCTGCTAGTGGCCCAGGTCCGCCGTGGCCCGAGCAGCCCCGTTTGCTCCTTACCCGGCGTCCCTCGTGGCAGTACGATGGCTGCAATTCGCCCCTGGCGAGGCGGGCATGTCAGCGGGGCGTGGAGCGACCCGGCCCCGCTTCCCGTGCGCGCCCGCGCGAGCCCCGCCAGCGCCACCGAGACGGGTAGCCAGCAACGGGGTCTTCGACAGCGCGCAGGAAGGGGCCGCAGTCGGGGCGAGCGAAGTGGGTACGGCAACAGTGGGTACAAAGTCCTCGAGCAGTTCTTGCCCATTCTGAACAGAGTTCGCTGCCGGCGTCGCCGCGGCCGTTGAGACAGAAGGGCGCCTGCCTAACAGCGGCCGTTGTCGGCTTTGGACAGCATGTGTTGTTGCGCAGCGTACCCATTTTTTCCGTATCCACTTCTGGCTTCCATTCTGAAAATTGCAGGACACTGCCGCTTCCGCGCGGGATGGCGCAGGAAAGCGGGACTCCCCCTGCATCTGTCAGAGTGCCCGTCGTGCAGACCCAGTACAGGCCGATCCGACGCACAATCCGATCCGAGCCGATTTCCCGATTCGATGCTGGCTGACTCGTGGAGATCTAATTACTCGGGGCCACCTTGGCTGTCCCAGAGGGCATCTTGGACCGTCACAGAAACCACGGATTCCACTTTCCAGGAGGGAAGAGTGTCAATGGCACGCGGCCGTTCGGAGCCCGTCCGCGTGTGCCTCCTCCGTTCCACGTCTGAGCGATTCCCCCCTTCCTCCCCACGGGCGGCCGCCCTTGTCTTCTTTTCTTCCTTTTGCACGCCGGACAATCCGCTTTTCGGTTGCCCCGATTAGCCTCACGCTGGAGCGGACTGCCTCTGTCTCGCAGCCGACAAAAATGTATTCCTCCTCCGTTGTTGCCCGAAGACCTGCGGTTCACCGAGCCGTAACATACTGCTACCCCGCGTAGTTACGCAGGCGAGAAAAAAACATAGACATAAATTGTGGGAGGCCCGCGCGGATGTCTTGGACCGGCGCTGGATCCCCTCCTTGGCACGCGGAGCGCGACAGGGGCGGCGCCAGAGGCGCCGCCAGAGGAGTCCAGCGCCGATGCAAGACACCCGCGCGGACCTCCGAAAGGTTCTCTTCATGCCGGCCACTGCTCTATTCCCTGAGGGCCGCGCGGATTTCTTGGATCGGCGTTGGGACCCCGGCGGCGCCCTTGGCGCCGCTCCTGACGCGCCACGCTCGCCAGGGAGCAGGGTCCAGTGCCGATGCAAGGAATCTTCGCGGACCTCCGACCACGTAGGTTTATGCGGCTTCTTGTTCTTCGATCCTGGCCGCCTCGTCCTCGCCCTCCTCCACCTCCTCGGGCATCTGGCCCTCCGCTCCTGGGGGGTGCGCCTCTGGGGCCAGCTGGGGTGACTCCCTCCATCGAGGGCCCCCCATCGAGGGTTTGGATTTGCTGGGTTTCGTTCCATCTAGGCCTTTCGCTTTCGTGCCCCCTGTTCTGACTCGAACTGGTCCCCAGCGTTTCCGGGCCTGGGTCCTCAGGCATCCCTCCTGGCCCCCTCGTCCCTCGAGCCTCCTCGCCCTCCTCGCCCTACTCGCCTCCTCTGTCCCTGCCCGCGGGCGTGCCGGGAGGCGGCCGCGTTGCAGGCGCAGATCGAGCGCGCCACGCTGCGGCGGAACGAGCTGATCCGGCAGTGCCAGGAGGCGCGCGCGGCGGGGAGGGCGCTCGTCAGCATCGCTTGTGATCGGGAACTGTCGGGTAGCGTTTCGTTCCGCTGGTTCTGGTCCGCCACGTCTTGGCGCGACATGCGCGCCAGCCACTCCCTGGTCCTATGGCATTCACGCCTTGAGTTTTTCGATGCCTCCTGGCCATGCGCTCGCAAGGTACTGCGTGCTGCTGGGCCGCTTCGAAGCGCTGTGCGAAAGTTCCTGACCGTATCTGGTCCATTTCCCCCTGGGCCATGGAGTCTCAGCCCTGCCATCCCATCCCCCAAGGTATGGATTGGCCCCGTCAAACTTCAGCATCGATTTCCATCTGGGGGGCGAAACGGTCAGTGTGGCCAAGGCCATACAAATGGGCCAGTGTTAGATTTGACGGTGCTCAGCTCGGACCTATGATTAGATAATCCATCACGGACGCTTCAGTTCGTCTTGGATTGCGTGTATAGTGTATCGTCAAAGAGCACACAGATAGCGTTCAGTACTGCCAAACAGCGCTGAGTAGCGCTCAGTAGCGCCGAATAGTCGTCAAATAGCGACCACTAGCGTCCAATGGCGCCGTGTGTGGGAGGTGCATGGTGTCCGCTGTGCGCGGGACTGGTCGAGCTATTGAAAGCCATGGAGGCGACCGACCGCTTCCGTGACGCATTTCCGAACGATTCTCGTTAAGACGTGCGTTCTTTCAGACCCAGGCGACGCAACAGAGATCGCGACGGCCGGTTTGGGGACGCTTTCGGCCTCGGGAGGCCGTCTATCACCGTTGAAGGACGACTCGAGATGAAAACACGGTCATGGGATGAGGTCGAGATCTTTGGCAGCCCGATCGATGGTCTAAGACGAAAATACATATGGACACGTCACAAATACTCATCGGTTTTTCTCTTTCCTTAATCTTTCGGGGGCGGGCGGAAACCCAGTCTACCTCCAACGTCTTCCTACTTACTGTTTCTACCCACGTCTTCCGACCGATGGGTCGTCCTAGTTGGGTCGGCGTTTGGGCCCACTTGCGCCTCTCCGGCGGCGCCCCTGACGCGCTCTTGATGCGCCAATGAGGGGGCACACCGCCAATCTCGGAGATCAGCGCGGAGCTCCGAAGGTCGACGTTTATGCCGAAGCTTCTTCTTCTAGCTCGGATCGACGATCCTCAGAACATGCGTTAGCCCAATGTGTGTTTGCAGTGGGCTCGTCCCCTGTCGAGGCGGCGGCGACCCCGCCGCGGGCATTCAAGATTGAACGCCGCCGGTGGCCCGGACTGATGTCATGTGGAACGGTCTGCACGATCGGAAAGCCGTGATCGTTCGAGGTTGAACGATCCAGGCCTTGTCAGAAGCCAGCGCCGAGGTCGTCATGACATAACCTGCCGTGCCCCATTCAGCTCCGCCGATCGCACGCAGCCTGGTTCGAAGAGCAAAAGAGGGCACAAGCATAAGCTCTCTGAGGTCCGCTCAGATCTCTTGGGTCTGCGCTGTGCCCCCTTCCCTTGCGCACGTTTTTTTCAGGGGGTCAGCAGCGAGGGTGGTCGCCAGCGCGTTCGGAACGCCGGCGAGCCGCGCCGGGGCAGAGGCACACTTTTTTTCGACGGCGGCGCGGCAGAGGGGCTCCTCCAGCGGGCGGCCGGGCAGAGGCACACACGACAATTAGGAGAAGAGGAGAGCGGCTGCGGAGGAGGAACGCGTTCGGTGCAGACAGTCTTCGCCACGAGGAGTGTGCAGGTGGCCTCAGGCACCGAAAACCGGTGCACTGGAAGGTGAGCGTTCAAAACTTGGCGCGCGAACCGCGCCAGGGGGGACGTCAGAGACGCCGCGAGGAGGGCCCCAGCACCGATCCAAGAAATCCGCGCGAACCTCGGACAGGTTTCCCCGAACAATGCCTGCAGTCAGGGATGCGTCAGTCGGGGGCAACGATCGGGGGGGGAAAGGAATAGGGGGGGATGCATCGACCCCCAATCGCCCAGTGATCGCCGATAGGGGCCCGATAGCCCCAACCCGCCCAGGAAGGTGCGGATTCACCATCGAGGGCCCATCGCCGATCTATCGGCGATGTATCGCCGATTCCAGGTCGATGCTTCCCTCCCTGTGCCAGTCCCCCCGATCGTTGCCCGTCGCTCAGGTTTAGTGAGGAATTGGATTGGCGTGCCAGGGTTTCGCCTGGTGCCCCGTCGGTGGGCGCCCGTGGGCGCCTCGTGGGTGCCTCGTGTGCTGGGTGGGTGTGCCGAGGTTTCGCCGGGTGCCCGCCCGGTGGGCGCTCGTGGGCGCCTCGAGCGCTGGGTGGGTGCGCCAATTCGCCTGGTGCCCGCCCGTTGGCGCTCGTGGGCTCCTGGTGGGCGTCTCGTGCGCTGCGTGCGCGACGGAAAACACACTCGGGGTCGTTTTCGCCGACATCGGCGCGCAAGCTGCCCGCGTACAGCGTAAGGTCGCGCGTAAGCGCCCTCGTCTCCCATGTGGCGTGCCGCGCTGGCGGCCAGCGTAAGCTGCGGCGTAAGGTCGCCGTGCCATGTGGGAGCAGGAGGAGGACGAGGAGGACGAAGACGAGGAGGACGAAGACGAGGAGGAGCAGGAGGAGGAGCAGGAGGAGGAGGAGGAGGAGGAGGCGTAAGACGCGTTTTCCATCGTCGCCCACGTGGGTTTGCCGAGGTTGCATCGGGTGCCCGCCCGTGGGCTCCTCGTGGGCGTGGGCGCCTCGTGCGCTGTGTCGGTGTGCCGCGGCTCTGCCTGGTGCCCGCCTGTCGCCGCCTCGTGGGTGCCTCGTGTGCTGGGCTGGGCGACCGCACGGAGTGCTCTGGAAGAAGAAGGTCCAGGGTTTCCGCGGTTCGGTCGTTTCGATTGCGCCGCAGTCGGTAGCGGTCGGTCGGTTCGCTTCGATCGGTCATTGTATCGTTGTTGCGTCGCTGCGCCCCTCTAGGTTGATTGCGATGGGTCGGTGTCGGCGTCGTTTTCGGTTCGGTCGGCTTTCGTTTGCATTCTCGCCGTGGAAAACCTTGGACATGGAGGAGGGAGTTTTGTACGACTGTCAGTTGGTTTGCGCATGCTCTACGGGTGTCTGTTGAGGGGTTCGAGAGGGAGGATGAGGCGCAGGATGAGGACGTTATCGACGATGACCCCGACACCACCAAAAACGACGTTGCGCATCTCGAGACAGTGGGGCCCAAGCTGGCCTGCGATGCCCGATGCCAGAACGAGGGGTAGGAAACGAAGGTGAAAGAGGAAGGCGAGGAGGTGAACGAGGAACGTGATGACCATGTGCAGTTCGGAGGAGGATGCTGATGGAGAGCTTGATAAGCTGATGTCAACAGCCTTCAAGTGACAGCATGGAGGGGGACATGGAGGAGGAACCAGAGCAGTCAGGGGAGAACGGGCGGAAGAAGGGGACGGTGAAGAAGGAGGAGAAGAAGGAAGGGGATGAGGAGGAGGAGGGGAGGACGATGAGGCGGAGGACAACGAGTAAGACGATGAGACAGAGGACGAGGAGGGCGACCATGAGAAGGGAGAAAAGAATGAGGAGGAGGAGGAGGCAACCGCATGTCGTTCCTGTCTGCTAGTGTTGAGGGGTGCGGCGACGACGTAATCGTGCCTCTAGGCATTACACGGATCGTCTCAATTTGAGTTTCGCGCTGGGCGCAACTTGGGATTTTACTTTGACGCCAGGCCGGAGTTTTGATGTCTCATGCGCTAGGAACGCGTTGAACTGCATCGACTGTTGACGCGCAGTATTGTGCATGGTTCGGGTATTCACTCTTATGGCTAAGCCTGCATTGAAAGTTTGAGTGTGAGCCAGTTGGACTAGTTGCTCGTAGCAGCCCCTGCAAGTTGGTGCAATGCAGTCTTGCAAGGAGGTCAGCCAAACTTGCAAGAGCATGCCATAAAGCATTATCTCTCCCCTGCGCAACGAACGCACATATGCAACATCGTGCATCTACAATCGAGGGGCCTATTTCCAGATGGCACCCTCGTGAGCTGCAAAGACGTATGCAAACGTGGAGGAGAGGGGCGACGGGGGGGAGAGGGTTGGGGCACCTGCGCGCAAGCTGGCCAGAGCGCGAGTGCCGCTCGAATCTAAGAGACGTGCTGTGTCAGTGTCACGCGTGAGCCATGGCAATGTTGCTCCCATCCCCTTCCCCAGTCCCTTTTTCGAGGGCATGGCATGCTCCAGCAGGACACGTGTAATGAATAGTTGTTGATATTATTCCGCCATGGGAGCCCCTTTGATTCCTGCCCCTGGCGGTGGCGGCTTGCTGTGAACCGTGTGTCCTGACGTGTGTTGCATTGCTGGCTCGATGCGATCATGATGCAGGGCGACAAAGAGGAGAAACAAACGTGCCATGCGTGAGCCATTGCTCACGATCACTGTATCCTCGTGCGTAAAACCCCTATGTGATTCTCGTCATTCTCCCAGACCCTCCAAGCCCCTGACTCCCATGGGCTCCCTTCAGAAAAGCTCATCCGTTCTCAACTAAGCGTTCGTTATGGTAGCACGATGCCTGGTCCCCCGGAGTACGCCTGGACATCTTGAAGCACAGTTTTTCCTCTCCTGAGATCCGACATCAGAATCATAGTTGGATCCATCGGGCGAATCGTTCTGCAGGGCATTTCGGGCCAGATCGAGCCCTAAAGGTTCTGGGGGCCGAAACGGAGCGGACACGTCCTTCGTAATGGTTTCACGACGATTGCGTCTAACGGCGTCTCGGTTCCTATCTCCGTCTTTTTCTGATCGGTTGTAGACATGTGCATTTGAATCGAATTGCCGTCGGCCCATCCCGTCACCGTTCTTGAGTCATGCGTAAGAGTCCTGAGGGACGTTTCTCGGTGTCCCTTCGGAGCGATCTCGGGGGCCTCTTGGGGGCAGTTGTGGTGTCTCTTGGGAGCTCTCTTGGAGGCCTCTTGGGAGCCTCTTGGGGGCCTCTTGGGGCTTCCTGGGGCCTCTTGGGGACGAGAGCTCGAAATGTCCATTCGGGTCCCCCGTCTGGGCCCCCTCTTGGAGCTATCCTC